TAATTGGAACCATAACTCTTATCTATTCAAATTGTATTAATATGTAAAGACCAAGTGTAACATATATCATCGTTAAATCTTATCTTATAAAACCAGTGGAACTTCAAAATGGTTAAAATTCATGGCTCCCGCCGCATTGCACGGATACACAAATTAAAGCATCAAAACAATTGTGTATCTTCCTCGTATAAAGAACCATACGGACCAAATAAGGAAAGTTTGTAAAGTAAACTCACCTTATCAATCTCAAGAGAAGAAGATACTAAGATTAACATCAACAGTTTATCCAGATAATAATCACGGAATCAATTTTGCAGGCTTTCCTTCTTCGTTTTCTGTTTTCTTCGCACCAAAGAAATACACACACAGAAAATCTTAATTGCCTTCTTTTCTTCAAGATATCATCCCAATGAGATAATCATATAATATCTTATAAAAGAATAAGGAGGTGGGATTGCTTTTTAAAACATTTTAAGCATATAAACACATCAAGTCCCTCAACTTATTATCATTTTTCAAAAACAACCCCAAACTTTATAACCGAATACCCGGTTATCACACTTATCCCAAACAATATCTCTTATCACAACTAGATATGGTTATTTGTTTACCTCTTAATAGTGTCATTAAGAGTAAAAATCTGAATCGTTAAGAGGTAAGTTTTGTTTGGTAAAAAAAATCTATCTCTTAATGGTTCTAAAACCCTCTGAATTATTTTGTATCTTGAGCCTCCCTAAATCATTCAGCGTTCTAATTTCATTATGAACAATTATCAAACAACCATATTTCATTTTGCATTGTCTTAAGAGTCTCTTAATCATTTCGACCATTTAGTCACACTTGGCTAAATTGGGATTACAACTTAAAAACAAAGTAAATAATTGAAAGATTGAGTAGAAATCGATGATAAATATTCCCAATCATCCCTTCTCATCTTCTCTTGTTGATTTCAGTTGAACAAAGTGAATTACCGTATCTAAAAGATGGTCACACCAAGCTATTATACCAACCACGAAAGACCCAAATCGCTCGATATAGGCCACTTTGCGACCTGCATCACGACCTAGGTCGCAGGGGAAGGCTGCTTGCGTACATGGCACTAGTCGCGAGCAAAGTTGCACATCATACTTCAGAGAG